GTTACGGCCTCCCCGTGACCAATTCCGATGCTAATCACGTCCCTTCCCGCGCCCGGCTGCTCCGAGGGGCCGGGGCACCTTTCCAAGCGCCCCGGGGGGGTGGCTGCTTTTGGAGCACCCGCTCTTTGAGGGCAGCCCCGGCGCCTCCAGGCAAGCCCCAACTCACAGGGGCTGCCTGGAGCCACGGGAAGGGAAAGGGCTAATTAAGACAACGAGGAGACAGTCCCAGACGACAATAAGGCCTTTGAGGGCCTCCCCAGGGGCAAGGCCTAATGATGCCCGCGGGGGAAGTTATTTCAGCTGCTCATGCAGGGAAGAGTGTTGCCCTCTGTGCTCCGAGGGGCTCCAGGCCAGCATGCCGGGGACACAGGCAGCGAGTGGCTTCGGTGTGACCCCCCGAGCGGGTTGTGCAGCCGGGCGAGGACGGCGAGCGGAGGCGCCCGCTCCGGAGGGCATCTCCCTGCCCGCAGGGTCTCCCGCTCCACGCGACGCCTGCGGAGAGGGAAAGGCTCCCCGGGCTGCACAGGGATGGGGCTCGGGAAGTGCTACCAGTGTGCTGCATACTCAGCTCCCTCCATGCGGGGAAATCCTCCCGGAACAGAAGCAAATGAGGCTGCTCAGCCAGACACTACAGGCATCTTTGGTTTTGCCTAATCCCAGCTTCTTCTGTTTTCCACCAGACAACTCGGTCTTCCCAAGCCAGCTCCGCTCCCAAAACGGAGCCATCACCACTCCTCTGACCACAGCACCTGCAAGGCCAGCGCCACTTTGCACACTGAAAACCAGGAACGGGTCATTCCCACACAAACCAAGCTGCTTGAGCTACAGGTGCTCCACACAGCACGGCTGAAACCAGGATAAACCCACCCGAACGTCCCCTCCTGCCTGGGAGGCTTCCTGCTTCTGCAGCGTTGCCTATTAATGCAGTGTTGCCTATTAACTGCAGCGAAGAGACAAGTCTGCCCTGCATTGGCGCACGGGCCTCACGCCAGGCCCAGCTCCCAGACAAGAGAGGAACCTTCCACCTAGGGAGAAGCATCCAGAGACTGGCACCTTCCCGCACGCTGGCAAGGCCCGGCCGTGGCACCAGCAACGCAAGGCACAGAGCCAACCTGCTGCTCAGGCCCAAAAGGCAGAACGGGCCCCCTCACGCCACAGATGGGACTGGAGAGCTCCCCCAGCGGGACGTGCTGGTGTCCCAGGGGCTCTGGCAGCAGCAGGGCACAGCACGTGATGCCACCAGGCAGGACGGCGGGGTCGGGCTCGGGTCCGGTGTCAGTCCCGCTCGGCAGCAGGGCTCTTCCCCCGTGCTCTGGGACTTGCTCACCTCTGCGCAGGGGAAATGGGGATAACGAGGGGTCCTGGGCAGCCAGGCAGCGTGCAGGGCCCGGAGCAGCTCTGCTTGTCCCGGGATCCCGGCAGCAACAGGATGCTCTGCTCTGATAAGAATCCAGCTACATCAGCACTTCCTATACTTTGGAGAACACACCTCTTCCCCACACTAATATCGGGACGTTTAGAGTTCTAGCAGTGGGCTACAAAACAGGAGCAAAAAAAGAATCCCTTCTTATTCTGCAGAAGAGGGTTTAAGAGGTTCTGCGCGTGGGTCACTGCTGCAGCCAGCTCCGGGGCAGATGCAGACGGTCTGGAAGCAGCAGCACCTCGCGACGCCGCTGGCAGGGAAGATCCCAGCTGGAAGCAGGGGCAGAAGGTGAAACCTGATCACTCTGCACATGGGCTTTAAATCAATGTTTTTACTAATGAACATGATTCCAACCTGGTACATGATGTGAGCTCCCCCTTCGCCTGCCTGCTCTCCCCGCGGATCTCGCTGACGGACATCTGGAGCACACAGGAAACTGGCCTGGTGCAGGCGAAACGCCAACTCTTGCTTCTCAGCAGCTGAATAGAAGGAGAAATGATTTCCACAGGCTCAATCTGAAGAACAGTCCTTTCAACTCTGAATCATTTCTACAAGCGACAGTGGCATAAATCCACATGGGGAAAGCATTCCTGAGAGAGCGTCTCCAGAGCTCTTGGCTGCCTCCGCGCCCAGGAACAGCCCAGGCCGGGTTAGGCACTTGGATGAATTCAAAATGACTAATAGAGAAGCAGGTCTGAGCAAGGCGCACACAGCGCGCCGGGCAGAGCCCGCAGCACCCCGGGCAACGCATTCCCTACCTGCTGTGCCAGCTCCTGCTGCTGCGGACGCCTGGAGGGCAAATGATCTAATCACAGCCAGAAAAAAACTAGGTTGGAAGGGACCACTTGAGATCTCTGTTGAGATGAAGTCTTAGACTTGTTTTGATTAAACCCTTGATCTTCCCTGAACCAGCCAGCACGGAGCCAACCCAACACAGCCCCTTCTGCGCCTCCTGCGCATCCGTGTCCAAGGATGCCAGGAGTGCCTGTGCACAGCCACGAGACTGAGCGCTGCAAAACCTACCCCTGCCTGGCTGCGGGCACCCGCGTGCCAACAGCAGACTCGCTGGGAAGCAACTGTCAGGCAGCACTTGCTGACATTGGCACAAGAAGCTACCAAGACCCTCTGCTATTAACAAGCTGCATTCCTCCAAGCCAAATTCCAAACTCATCCGCACAGGAGGAGGCGTCAGGATGGCAGAGAATCGGCGTGACAGGCACGTGGCAAATTAGACTTGAGCACTGAGAGCTCCAGTGCTGCCCAGTCAGCTCAGGTGCCCTCTGGTCTCTGCTACAGATGAGCAGAAAGGCTGCCAGGGATTTGACACATCACAGACAAGTCCCTGAGCACAGTTATGCTGGTGGCCTGGGGGGATACCGGGCGAGCCGTCATCACCAAGTGTTTTCAGAGCTCAGCTTGGTGCCCAGAGAGGCAGAGCCCTGCTAAGGCAGCTACGTTCTGCCCCATGAGGTTAGCAACAGCACAAGCCAACTCTGCGACTGGCAAAGGTTCAGGCTGGTGAAACACAAGAGGTGACAGGGAACAGCAGGGAGCAACGCAGCACGGAGTATGACAAGGGCAAAGGATGTGTCCTGATGTGCTGGCCTCAGGTGCTCAGCCTCCTGGAGGCTCTACAGGCAGCAGGAAAACCAAGCTCAGCCTAAGTTCAGCTGCTCTTCCCCGCAAAGCCCAGGCACTCGGCTAGGACATCTGCTCGCTGCACAGAAAGAGGCTCCGGAGACACTTCTTGGTGCCCTTATATGGGGCTGGGAGCGAGGGGAAGCCACGAGAACAGCCTGTCGGGCCTCGACAGCACAGGCTGGAGAGCAGAGCCCTCCTCAGGAAAGAGCCAAAAGAGAAACCCCAGGGCAAGACTTCAAGACCTGGCATTTGAGAGCGTGGGAATGGGAAGGGTCTGAAGGGATGGAAACAAAAGAGACAAAGCAACCCTGGCTGGGCAGCAGCGATGCAGGATCTCTCTTCATCCAGCATCATGTCAGGAAAGGGGATCTCTCTGCCAGGGCATTTCAAAACACAGAAGCAGAAGAAAATATTTCCTCCTGCTCTCCAGCCAACCAGCAGCATTTGCAGGTCAGCCTTAAACACTGCAGCAAATTATGATCTTCCACAGGAATTCAGCTACGCAAAACCAACACAGAGCCCGAGCGCGTGACTGAGAGCCTGCACGCAGCTCCCAAGGGAAAACCTCCACCCGGCCACCAGCGCTGCCCTACCTGGCACATGTGCCTCAGGACTCCGTTTCTCGATCCCTTGGGGTTGTTTTTCTCCTCTACGTGCTCCAGCTTTCCTCTGTGCACCGGGATCAGGTACTGACCCTTCTCATAAAGCACTGATGTCCAGATAGGCGCTAGAGACGGTTGGAACCGCAGCGAGCTGCGCTTTCCCAAAGGAGCTCTGCCTTTCAGCCCATACCCAGGGATTACCAGGCCGGGCAGCTGCTCTTTTGAGCTGGTGAGAGAACAAGCGGATTACTGGCCTGACCACAAAGCAGGAGGCAGCGCCAGCCCCTGCTCGGCCTCCTTGGGAAGTGCTCCTCTCCTACTGCACAAACCGAGAGCGTACGATTCGTTACGTTCATTTTAAGTGCTGGCATATATCCTCCCAACGCTTCTGCTTTTCTGCTTTGATTCAGGCTCACATACCCCACTGAACCCACGGAGAGGCAGGATGTATCTAATACATTCTAACACAGCAGGTCTCCTCTCCACTGGCACCTCAAATCTACTCCTGAAACATTCAGCAACTGCAAAACGGTTCATTTGTGGGCAGGAAGGAGTAATTAACAGCTCCAGCTCCTAAGCTGGCAACAGTCACAAATTCATTTTCTAAGTTTGCGCCCAGGGAACAAGGGAGCAAAACACCACTGGGATCTAAACCAGAATTGCTCTTTGGGGCCAAGCCCACAAGATGAGTTCAGAGCTTCTGCTCCCAACAAATGGAGGAGGCACCTGGAAGTGTTAGGCAGACCTGCAGGCAACAGCCTGCTAGCACTCCTCAGCTTTTGTGCGGAGGTAATACCAACAGTACAGTTAAAACAACACTCAACTATCAGCTGGTCATTCTCCAAAATTGCACGGTGTTGTTGGAGCCAAACAAGTGCCTATAATTCTGCCTGCTTCTGAGCTGCTGAAGAGAGCCCAGCACAGACTGTCACAACACTGAATCACAAAGAAATGCTGGCACCTTTCAACAAAAGACTGGCTGAAGGGGAGGGGGAGCAAAAGCTATTGAACCCAATCCCAGAGGGGTGGAGGAAGTGCATCTTCCCACAGTTCCTGGGCAATATGCACATATATAGATATATAGATATATAGATAATAAAGTTATAAAATTTGATCAAAATAAAACCAGTAAATGTACAGCTTGAAAAAGAGCAAATATCACAGTGCATCACAGTCACGAGAAAGTCGCGTGTTCTCCCTCTGCATGAGGGCACAGCCTGGCACGTTTAAAAAAGACCCCACAGAAAGAGAACGCTTTGAGCTGCTCGGCTTGCTGGGGGCAAGGAGTCACCATCCTGTCCTTGTAAATGTGGCTTTGCCCTTATGCTCTGCACAGCAGTGGCAGAAACAGCCAGGAACAGCACCGGAGCGGGCTGCTCCATCTGCAGGTGTTAGTCGACGTATTGTCACCAGGCACTAGAGATCCAAAGCTGCTCTGAAACTTCTCCACACTCTGGCGCTTGGCTCATACTTACGGAAAAAAAAAAAAAAGTGACAAAGTGAAGAAATTCAGGGGACGCTGTGAGAATGAGACAAGGGCTGAATTCGGATCACAGGGGACAGGTTGACCCTAAGGATTTTCTGTGCTCTCCTCCTCACTTCGTCATCGGAAGAATTGTCCACCTTGATTGCCCGGAATTTCAGCAAATTCAAAGTGCTCTGAGCCCGCTGAGGTTTATTTCGGGCAGGAATGGTATTTGCTTTCTTCTTCCGCGGCGCTTCTCTCACCTCTGCAGCTCCTTTCCTCTTCCGCCCGACAGCCTCCTGGCGGCTGCCGCTCTCCTTCCACTCCGTCTTCCCCACAGGAGCCTCCTTAGCTTTGATTTTCAAAGCCTTGGACCGCGGCGCTCCGGTGCCGCCTTGGGCGTTGCTGCCGGTGACTCTGCCGTTGAGGACGCCCGAGGCTTTGCAGGCGTTGCTCTCCTGCAGCACGCCGCCCTTTGGTCCCTTCAGAAGATTCACCGGGAGGCCGGTGGGATCCTGTGCTTTCCTCCTCACCAAGCGCTTCTTCCCCTTCGCCTCTTTTATTTTAGTGCTCTTGCCCGAGGAAGACTGCCTTGGCGGACTCGAAGCCTCGAGGAGTTTAAGGTCCGAGGGCGAGATTCCGAGACGCCCCTGTTTGCGCTTGGATTCCAAGCAGGACGCGGTGCTTTTCAGTGGCACCAGAGCTTCCAGAACCACAGACAGTCTCATTGCTGGATACACCTCAGGATACATGCCGGCAGGAAAGCCCACTGCCGAGGCCTTGGACGTGCCAGATCTCGTCTGCTTCAGGGAGCTCAGCAGCAGGTTTGTGGAACTACCCTTAGGGGCAGGTTTAGCAGAGACCTTGGAGGAGGCCACCGAAACGCCCGTGGCTGAAGCAGGCACCTTTGTGACAGCTGCAGTGCTTCTAGCTGGAGTTTTAGCAGGCTCGGACGTGGCGGTGGCAACACGCTGTGCGCTCCCTTTTGTTTGGTTCGGGGTGTCCGCTGTACAGGAACTGTAACCGTACACATCTTTACTCCTTAGAATTGTGGGCTGGTAGCCTTCCTCCTTGAGGCTCTGAATAAAGGCCACCAGCTGGGTCTCCGTGTCTGAAAGGTCCTTAGACATTGGGTTGAAGACTCGGAGAGCTTCCTCCAGCACTTTCTGTCCCGCAGAGGAAATTCTCGACCAGGAATGGACAGCTTTTTCTTCCACATTGTTCGCTGCAATATTCATGGCATTAGGCAAGGAAGTGCTTCAAAAGATCCAAGTTACTGGAAAAACAACCCGTGACACCTCAAAAGGAGAGAGAAGACAGTTAGCTTACGGCAACTGGAATCATCTCGCATTTTTAAGTAGGGACCTGAAACCATTAAGACTAGAGCTGGCTACTCACAAACATCAGGTCTCATTCTGTGCATAACTCAAAACTAGCAGCAGCATCGAGAAAATCCTGTCACTGTTATGTCTTTGCAGTAAAACTAAGGCATCTCTATTGCAGAAATAACTTAAATCCCAAAGGTTTCAGGCAATCCCATCCAACCCATCCCAAGATGAACTGTTCCACTGGTTAACTCAGTGAAATGTGCAGCTCATTTCCAGTTTGAGAGTGACAAGCCTCAGCTTCTCGCAATCAGATCTCGTTTTGCCTCTGTAAAGCAGCCCTCCGTTAAATCTTTTCCCTGTGCACGTACTGAGAAGACGACGACCAAGCCATGGCAACACTCTTCAGTGAACTACACAGCCCGAGTTCCTCAAGTCTATCCCAGTGTCACGTTCAATTTTGCAGCTTTCTGTTTGATTCTGCTCAAAACTGATTTTGAATCCCTGCCAAATCTGCAGCATCCTTCTGAAGAGCAGACAGCAGAGCTGGAGGCTATTTCAGTCGTGCTTCGTCGATGCCAAGCACTGTAGAAAGACAGCTCTGTTCCTTGTTTCTCCCCATGTGAGCAACAGTCCACAACGTGCTGTCACAGCAAACTGCTGTCGACCCAGCGACACTCGCTGCCAAGCGAGAAGGAAGCAGGAAACTCAAGAAGGGCAGCGAGGAGGAAGCAGAGAGCACCAGGACCTGGCACAACGGCCTGAGGGATGGTGCTCCACTCACCCCTACAGGCACTAGGCAACTACCGGCCTCAGACAGAAGCAATAACTGCTGTTTTTTAAAAAGAAGAAGCTGAGGAATGAGGCAGGAGCCTGGGAGGACTCAAGACTATCGCATGCTGCAAGAACTTATGAAGTCTTCAATGTCTTAACCTCATCAGATGTGTTCAGCGAAGAATCTTCCTCACAGAAATATTGATGCTATCACGGAGGGCAGGAAGCAGATGAGAAAGTCACAACAGGAAACCAGCACCTGAGCAGGGCGAGCAAGGGACTGCTCACGTGTCAGGTCATCTCCGGAGCTCCGGTTACGTCGCAGCCACAGAGCCTGGCAGGGCCAGGGGCACCGGGGCCACCACAAACAGCACGGAGAGGCCGTCACCCCACGTCAGCAATGGGGTGCGAGGGGCGAGCGGGCTCCACGCGACAGGCTGGTCCCCACCCCGCGTTCTGGGGACGCGGCGGCAGGACGGGGACTGGGAGAAGGATAACGTAGGTCCTGGCAACGCTCGGGGCATCTCCTGCTAGGAAGGGGAGGCAGGAAGGAAAGCGCTGGAGCGGCACCACTGGCTAAGGGTGAGATCTGTCACCTCAAAAATGAGCTGCAGGTACAAGGCAGAGGGAGGACGTACAGAGCAGGGGCAAGAGAGGATGCAATGGATGAATTCGGATTCGGTGGGGAGGGAGGCAGCAAAACCACCAGTGTGCTTTTAGCAATGAAATATATACAGCAAAACATACAGCCTTCTGCTGCGAGCTTCGCACCGCGCCGGGAACGGCCAGAGCGCCTGGGCAGGCGCTTCTGCGGCAGCGGGGCCGGGAGCGACGCGGCCCTGCACGGTGTCACACAGGGCGCAGGGCGGGCGGCCCCCAACGGGCCCGTGCTCGGACGCCGGTGGGGTTCGCTC